CATCGCTACTAGTAACAGGTGCCTTACTAGTAGTAACAAGAAGCTACGAACGGAGCTCCTGGCTCTCCCGAGTCACCATGGACCGAGTGACGGCACCGGATCGACAGCTCACCCGTCGACTCAGGGTCCACGGGATCGACTGACCCGGTCAACCCGCGAGAAACTGACCCGGGATCGTTCGAACCATCCTCGAAAAAGCCAAGTCGTCTCGAAACAGAATGCGCGCCGCTGCAAGGATGGACGCTACGAACGGGGGCTCCTGGCCGTACTACTATAGGAACAAGGTTCGCTACGAACGGGGCTCAAGCCACATCTGACCGTCTCGCTGCTCCAGCTGGTCTCTCCATTTGTTCAAGACGCGCGGTGCGTGCAAGCCAGCGCTCCTCTTCTCGCGGTGAACGGGAAATCACAGCAAGTGGAGCAGTTCTCTATACAAGTTGCTGCTTACTTTCAGCTGCTTTCTCAGCCAAAGCGTCTCTCTCAGATCCTCTTTTCCCTGATGTTTTCGCTTCAAGCTCCTTTGGCGCAGCTTCTCATTCCTTCTGTTCGCCCACCAGGCGCACTGCCAAGGCGATGGTGCAAAGGCGTGGCAGGGCATCAGACTCACCCAAGGTGGCGCCAAGGTCTAAGAAGCGATGGCAAAGCTTCTCGAAGTCATCGAATTGTGGAACAAGTCCTCCCGAAGACGTGCCCGTCGAAACATTCTTCGAAACCTCAGCGGTGCTTTCTTCGTGTGTTTTTGGATCCGTCACCTGCTCAGCACGTTCCTTCGTCACGAAGAAGGGCTCTGCTGCCTCGCCACAAATCTGGAGGGGTGTCTTGCCATCGGCGTTCTGGGCGTTCAAGTCAGCGTTGGCCTGCAGCAGCAACTCACAGCATGACAGAGATCCACGGCGTGCCGCCATGTGCAAAGCCGTCTCATCCCAAGCATCACGGGCATTCACAAAGTCCAAAAGGGAAGTCTCTTGATTCATTTTCATGGTCTCAAGTAGCTCATGAACTTCATCCTGGTTGGCACAGTCAGCAGCTGCATGTAGAGCGGTACATCCAAAGTCATCAACTTCAAAGGAAGAATGGGTCCAAGCCTTGGGCTTTTCAGAGCTCAACTCATTCTCATCAGTCTCATTCATCTCCTTCTCTTTCTCCTTCAAGGCCTTTGCCTTGGCTGCCTTGGCTTCCGTCCTTCTGCAGAAGAGCCAAGCCAAGTGAAGGAGCATCCCAGCCAGCATTGAACGAAGAAGAGGACAAGCGACACCACCGTCGAAGGTGCATGCAGTGTCTTCCAACTCCACAGTGTCGCCCGTGTCGCCATGCGACTGCTTGGCGTGAAAGTCTTCTTCTTCCTCTTCAAGTGCTTGGGACTCTTTCAGCTCGTTCGACAGCAAGGGGAGGGCTTTCTCATGTTCTTTCCATGCTACGGCTGTGAAGTCTTTTTGCATCAAAGCCTTAGCTTTGGCACGATCTTGCTCTTCTGCGCTTGCTGTGAAGATGAGCACTGTGAGCGGGAACCAAAACGAGATCTTGGAGATAGTCATCGTCGCTGAAGGGGAGTTCGGCTTCGAAGATGTCCTCAAAGAGGTCAATGTGAAGTAGATGTCTCTTTACCGGGTAAAGTGTGGAGCCGTTTACGTAGCTCCAAGGGCGCAGAGCGGGGGGACGGGCGCTCCCAGAGATCCCGCTCCGGAGCGGTCGCGGCGAAGGGTCCGATCTTCGCTTTCGGAAGAAAATGGCTACGAGAGCGGTCGGAGATCTCACCGAATACACAGTCAAGACCGACAGACAGAAAGAGCATAAAAAGAGGCACGAAACTCACTTGGTGTTGTCTTCCGAAGATCGTTCCAAATGAGAAGACCGTTGTTAATGTTCTTTTATCCAAACGTCTTTGACAACCAAAAGGGACCGTCCTCCTTGCCTCACGTCTCCAAGACCAAAACACCACCGGGTTGACCTCTTCGCGCCTTAAGGCTCTCGTCGCCCAAGCGGCTCCCGTCGCTGAAGTCCAGGAAGAGCTCTGTCAAGGTCCTGCCGTGTCCACCACGCGGTGAGACATGGGTGAGACATGTGATGTGTTCCCCAGCTTTACCAAGTGGTGAAAAAGATAAGAACTGAGGAACTGTAGACATCAAAGGCAAAGGTCGATAGCATGGCATGTGATGAACTCTGACCCCGGGATAAGGTGTGTAACACATCGAACGTTCGATGTCCGAAAAGCTGGGTTTGACCGAGAAGGCCCAGCAATTCTCAGGCTGTGCTAGTTGTGGATATTGTCCTTGTGAGGAGGACCAGCTATAACCCTAGCCTTCTCAATGACGTAGTTGTGCAAGCATGTGCACTCACAAACAGCCAAAACCTGTCGCAACGAAATGCGACCTGCCTATCTCACAGTAGTTTAGTACTGAGAAGAAAGGAACGAAGAAAGAGAGGTCTGAAGAAAGTGGAAAGGACCGCGACGAAGCAAAAAGAATAGAAGTGCATGGCACAACTTCTTCATGGCCATGGGCTCCTGGGAATGGCCTTTGCCAGAGCCTCGATGCCCTCCTCACAAAGAGGCAAGACTGTCCACGGCTGTGTGCGGAGCTTGGGTGCTGCTGCAGGGCACTGCAGGGTGTTGGTGCGTAGTATACTTGTTCCTAGTAGCGTCCTTGTTACTACTAGTAAGGCACCTGTTA